TGTTATTGAAAACAATTGGTGTCAAAGAGTGAACTCAAGTAAACTTGTCTTAAAATAGTTACTTCCATTCCATGCTTTTTAAAAAAATGTTTCTTACTTTAAGAAAGTGGTTGTCATAACTTGCTCAATGTTGGCCTGAACTTCTTGTATTTAATCTACAGTATATATCTTTTTTAAAAATGGAGAAAACAAACAACTAAGAATATTAACAGGGTTTTTCATCTCCAAACTACTATTTTAAGTATTAACTAATGAATCACCATACCGCCACTGAAGTAAGCAATTACTACTCCCATTTTACAGAAAAAGGATAGGATGCAGAGTGGTTAAGTATTTAACTTGCCCAAGGGTACAGAGAAATAGATCCTGGCTCCTTGTCTTGTGCTCAGACCATAAAGCTATTGCTAACTATCTGACAGATTGTTCATTTTACATCAGATGTTTTACTAACACTACTGTATCTCTATACCCAACTCTACCTGTTAAATTAGTAATCCTAGTATGTATAGACAGTCTACTTTAAGCGATATTGTGGCAATGGACAGGCCACTAATTTTTCCAATTTCTTGCTTAATTTGTACATTGTATCTCTCCATCTTATACTGGCCCCATCACCACAGTATCTGAGCAACTTGTCGTATCATTGTCCATTTGCTAGGGACTAGAACAATTCTTATATGGAAAAAAGAACTTACTTGATCTCAGTACCCCATTGTTTTAGGGAGAAATTGATGGCACTTTGTTGGACCGGTGCTGGCTGGCAAGCTGCTTGTTCTCCTACCAATTCCGTGGGAGCAGTCTCCACAGCTAGGACATTTCTAGCTTTCTCTGCTGAGACATTTGGATTCAGGATATTCAAATCTGAGAAAGGAAAGCAACATTTGTTTATTATGATGATTTTATCACCTTAAAAATTGCACAAGGCTCCCACAAATGCCATGTTCTTAAAAAAGTGTATTTGAACAACAGAAAAATAACAGGACTTAGTCTTTATCCTCAGTATGCTAAGATCTCATTGCATTCATATTGTTGTGCACTAGCTAATAAAATCTCAGAGGTACACAGTGTACTACATGGCTGAAAACAATGTATTGCAAATACGTAAGCTGAAGAATGTACTATGGGTAGCACAAGGTATTAGTTTGAGGTTTTTAGCAGAGGCTTTCTGCTAACCCTCTGCATAGCAGTTATTTTCACCCCAGTGCAGTTTCAAAATAAAATACAGCCTTTGCTGATGTTAGCAATGAGCAGGCTTACAAATATCCTGCTTTGAAGTCACACAGCAGATAAACAGGAAGATCTCTTAGATTCTGAAATGTTAAAAGGGAAAGTAGAAGATAAAACATTTAAAAAGTATTTGTTAGGATGCAGAACTCTGAAGAACTGTCTAACAAATCAGAAAGGTAGCTGGTACCTTACATCTCTGAAAATCTGGGGTGTAATCCTGAATAGGCAACAGTGAGTTTGGTGCTCTCATTTTATATCTTGTGCTGATAAAGTCTTGCAAAAAGTTCCCACAGGGCCAAACCTTAGTCTTACAGAGTCCTAAATTCTCTTGGACCATCGTTGAATGAAGGCCAGCATCTAGTTAAAGGGTGCTTAGCCTGGTCTACTGCCATGTGCACACAACACCTTTGGGTGCACCTTTCAAGCACTAAGACTGACATGTTTTTATGTGTACTTAAAAAAAAAATCATCTGTGCATGCAGATGTCGGTGCTTGCTTGGTCTGCATGTACAGTCGTCAATATTGCACAAGCACAACTGGATGCAACCTCTGAAAAAAAAAATCAAACCCAAGCTATGTGCATATATTTAAGAGTGCAAGTTGTAGAGTTCATGAAAAAAGCTAGAGTATATGCTGAGTACACAGTTTTCAAATACAATTTTGCTTAGGCAAAACCATTTCTTCATACACCTCATTCACCCCAAAGTCCGTCCACAACTTCTCAGTGAGGACTATTTTCCAGCCAAGTTTCAACTTTCAATCTTCAGCCACTTTTGCTGTAGCTCTATTAAAAAAAATGGTTGCCAAAATATTCTTACCATGACAAGAGTGAAATTTTGCCACTTCTTCCTAACTCAAACAGCTGATTTGAATAAAAAAACAAACAATCTCTGATAAAATTCATTTTCTGGAAGAGAAAAAGTATGGAAAATGTCAGCCCAATAGCCAAGTTCTTCAAAAAATGATGGGCATCTGCAAACGAGATTATAAGTAACAGCAACATACATTTTCATCAAGTCCTCACTCATCTCCAGCAATAGTTTTCATCCAAAACCACTATACAGTTCGGCACAACTGACAAGAATCTCTGCTCCTGAGCACTGATATAGCAAGCATGTTTCAGCTCCAAGAGTAGTGTGTACACTGGCAAAAACTGCATAAGGCACCTGCCTCAGCCCGTAACTTTCAAGAGTAGACTCAACTGGTTACAAAAATTAACAGCTGCAATCCCAGAAAATCATCAAGACTCTCTGCTTGAAGCTGGAAACACTTTGGTAGCTAGGTTTATGCTGGTCAAGACTGGAAACACGTTCAAGATTTTCATTACTAGGAAAAAGGTTCATGACAAAGCAGGCCTTATATGTAAGCCAGGGGGGTAAATTAGAGTAAACAACCTTGAAATATCTTTATGACAAATATTAAAAAGTTGCCCTGTGCCACAGGAAAAACAAGTGTAAATCCAAATGGTTGTAACCAGAAGCTGAAGTTTTATCAATTCTACTTGCACTCACTTTCCTGAATTACAGAAAGTAAAGGTAAATCACAGACTGATTTTGTTACCTCTTATGTTTTACGCATATGCTTTAGAGTGTGCCTTTAGCAGCAAGACAATCTGAAGCAGTTTTCTGAAGCTCCATGTGTATAAACAAAAGTTCAGATTTACAGCTAGTCAAACAGAAAATACAAGAGCTCATGTACTGAATGGAATTGTTTCACCAAGTATTGATTTTTGTTTCCGAATACTTCATGTAATATTCCAGTATTTTCTTTTTAATATGTGTGATTGCCTTCCTTCAGTTTCAGTTCCCAGCATGGACTTCCATAAGCTTTTGGCATTTCTACAACCACCACCACAACTCTTAGCAGAAAACCTCAACACTGCTACAAAGTTTCTTGTACAAAGCTTTACCAGCCAAGACAATTTATGCCGTTATGCATTGCGACAGCAGAACAAATCTACATTTGACTAACTGCAGGCACTTGGCAATGAGGGCTGTAAGAGAATCTGAATAGAATGCTTATGTGAGGCAGAAATCATTGTAGACCCTGCTGCAGAATACAACCAAATGGCTCCAATACTAACAGTACAGTTCTTCTATATTGTGTACCAGTCTTAAATAAAACTTGCAACTGAAGTCTTTTATAGAATACTTGTGATCATACTGCAGTTTTGAAGATGGTAACAGATTACAAGTAACTTTAGTAACTCTGTAAATTGCGTGCCAGATATGGGGTGGAAGAAAGAAAAACAACATCAAAACCATTCTCACATTTTCCCTCCATTACATTTTGGAGAACTAGGTTGCATAACTCAGTGACTGAAGTATAATTAATGAACTCTTACAGCCACTTGGGATGGCATCTTATAGTTCCTGGCAAACAGCAATTCACCTCTTAAACCAAACACTCAAAACTGGGATTATGGATCACATCTTCCAGTCTCATGCACAACAAAATACACAGTCATAGGTCTATCTACTGTAGGTAATTGTACAGTAGAGAACATTACTAGGGTCATGAACAAAAGTGGATACCAAGCTCTTACAGCACTACATATGGCCAATCTGAGTGGATAAACGGAGTATCTTTTTTTTTGGTGGAGTTAGTCCATTTACAGTCATGAACGAAAGTTCCACAGAAAAAATATTAACTGTATAAAAAAGAAGTTAGTTTTCATCATGCTGTGTGTCTATTGATTCTGCAATTGTTTTCTGACAGGTGGCACAAAATATAGCATGCAACAGATGATAAAAACATCTGCTACTAATTACAATGCAAGATTGTAAGCAGAAAAGGACAGCTTAATTTCTTCTCTCTGGAAATACTGTGATCCATGATGTCAGCAGTCTGACAGTCTCTTAAAAAAATGTTCTTATTTTAATTGCTGCTTCAGCATGGTTTTCCAGAACTCACTACGGGTATGTCTACACTGCAATTTAAAAACTGCAGCTGGCCTCTGCCAGCTGACTCAGGCTCGTGGGGCTCCCGCTAAGGGTTGTTTAAAGGCAGTGTAGACATTGGAACTGGAGCGTGGGCTTTGGGACCCTCAACCTCACAGGGGTCCTAGAGCTCAGGCTCCAACCCAAGCCTGAAAGTCTAACACTTCAATTAAACAGCCCCTTAGCCCGAGCCCCGCAAGCCTGAGTCAGCTGGCATGGGTCAGCCACAGGTGTCTTATTGCAGAGTAGATATACCCTATGTTTTCTGCTTTCTGCAATGCTGCATTTATTTAATAGACACTGTCTGAATTGACTCTCAAAGGCTCATGTAGCTGCTGAAAGGCTGCACTGACAGCCATAGTCTCAGTTCATCCTACTGACTGCTGGACTCTTTTTGATTACAGCAGACAAGGCAAAGTTCTTGCCAAGTGGTGACATTTAGCTTTGGAGGCGTGCTTTGTATGATCTACCAGTATGCAGGGCAGCAGAAGTTAACCTTTTTGCTAAGTTTAAAAGGAAGAAAAATGCAGAATTTTTTCATCTCAGCCAACAGCCACACTTCCAGCTATTGCAAAACAATTATAATGTACATTAGCATCACTCAAATGCAGAGGATGAGGCTGCGTGAAACAATGAAGCTGAACTCTACTCCCTCCTGGGTATGCTTTACACCACTTTATGTACATGATCACAATCTGTTTCTAAACTGTTACAGTGGAATATTAAAAAAAAAAAAACGATCTCACAAATGCTCCTGGAACCAGTAAGACATGTACATGCTTTACCATGTAACCTTGTAATATTGTCACCCATATCTTTCCTAGTCATTATTTCCTTGTATGTTTATGGCCAACATCCGAACCTTGTTTTAAGTTATTTGCTCTCTGGGGCAGAAGGTAGGTCTGTTATTGTGAGCCAAGGCTCAAAGAGAACATAACAAGGGAAGACTTGCAACTACGCTTGTTGTATCAGTTCTGTGGACAGAGCAAGACCACCAAGAGCCCCCTAATGCCAAATGGCAAAAGGATTATAGGAATGTCCTGATTCTGGTATGTACATTCTGTTTCACCAAAGAATGTCTTGTGAGGTCTTAAATGAAAACCAGGCTCTAAGTGGTCATCAATATTGTTATAAAATATATATATACAGACACTATGTGTGACAGTGTACCCCATAAGGCCTCATGAGAATATGCTTATGAATGTATATATGATATAACTGGAATATGTTTTATGCTACATATGTCATGTAACATATCTAGAATGGTTATGATCTACTGAATACATTCCTCCTCTTTGTATGCATGTATCATTTTTGTACTTGAAGTTAGGAATATTGGCTGTATACTTGCTTGATTTCTAAGTAGCCTTTGTAAAGCATTTGGTCAGCTTCTTGAGAAAGGAAGGTGCAAATTAAGTGCCCAATCAAGAAACACTTAAGGGACAATGGATCTTGGGATGCTCCAATCCACATAAGAAGTCTACATGAGGACGTTCAAGGTAGCAGGTAACCTAGCCTTCCCCACCACCCCGTTACATTAATTCTTATGGGGAAATTGGATTCGCTTAACATCCA